CACTTCTAGTTTTCCATGTCTTACTATTCGGGCAAGGCTCTCTCTCTCTTCCCATTTTGTTAATGTGTTGGTTCTATTCTCGTCTTCTTTGGTGTCCCCCTCTGACGATATCATGTACTTTACACACGTCTCTCGATTTATATATAAGAGATCCTGTCTCATAAAGTTTTACCTGTTATCGCCCTCAGTGTTTCCATTTCTGTTGTTCTTAAGATTTTCTTTGTAATTGTTGTTTCTGCTCTTGTTTCTATAGGATAGGTTAATATTGGTCGTACACGTTCTTATTCTCCATATCAGCACATCTTCTTATTTCTCCATATCACTTCTCGTAGCCTTCTTGACTCGAATGTTGGTTTATTAGCTTGTATGCGGGTTCCTTCGGAGATGTTTTCATAATAAGATATTTGCATTCCCAGACAGTTGAACTTCGATACTTGCTCTATTATTTCTTCGTGTATTACAAGTTTGCATCTCACTGGCTTCCTAGCAAAAATGAGAAACTTTGTTTCTGTGCTGATATTTTCAGGTTAAACTTTTCTACGTTAGCTTCCAAAGCATCTGCGGCTTCTCGCATTTCGATCGCCATCGTTTTCTGTCCATCCATTCGTCTTCTCTGATGGCTCTATCTCTCACTATGTGCCGTACATTTTCTTCCCAAGCAACTGAAGGCCTTCTCCTTCTTCTTCTTTGTTGTGGAATATAATTTAAAGCTTTTTTTTGGCCATCTATCTTCATTCATTCGCTTCACGTGACCATACCACACTAGTTGTCTCGTTTCAATTCTGTCTACACTGGAATATACCGTAATTGTCGTCCTTCATTTCTAATATGATCTTTTTTTTGGATAAACCACACGCTCTCCTTAGAAAATCCAGTTCTACTATTTCTATTCTTTTTCTATCTATTTTCGTCATCTGCCAACTTCTGCCCCATAAGTCATAATAGGCTCTACTAAGGTTAGATAGATTGTCATTGCCAATTTCGTTTCTTGTTTATTATCTTTAGCCATAGTAGAGATTTTAGAATGTTTACAGCTTTTTTCCCCTGCTGCATTCTGTTTTCGATGTCTCTTTTGGTAGTGCCTTCTTAGATATTATAGATCCGAGATATTTGTATATTCATTCCATGTTTTTGTGTTTTTTTATCCATATGTCAACACTGGCTGTATAAGGGTTTTGTATATAGTTATTTTTGTTTTTTGGCTTAAGTTTCTACTTCTCATATGTCTACTCAGTCCAAAATAGCATCTGTTTGCCATTATTATCCTTCTTGTCCCTTCTTATGCTAATTCTTGTCCCTTTTCTATATTCTGTACCTAAGTGTTATTGTTTTTGCGAGAGTTAACCATCACGTTGGCCATAAGTAAACGATGGTCGGATCCACATTGTGATCCACGGTATACCCTTACGTCAGTTGTTTTCAGCTGGGAAGTTTGACGTTAGATTACATAGTCGATTATCGAGCGCAGATTCCTAGTAGGTTGTATCCATGTAAATTTGTGGATGTCTCTATATTGAAAAAATCCATTCATAATTTTGAGAGACATTGTTTCACAAAAATCTCTAAAACGCATTCCGCTGTCATTGGTTATTTGTTCCCCATACCTTCCTACGACACTGTTATTTTCTTCTCTCCCTACTCTGCCGTTTAAATCTCCTAGTATAAAGATTTCAAAGTTTTCTTTAACTTCAGAGAGTATTTCATTCATCTTGTTGTAGAAATCGTCTTTACTTTCTGGATCTGCGTCTTCATTTAGGGCATACGCTCCGACAATTACGATGTTGTGTCCATTCTATTTCATTTCCAGTATTAGCAGTTGTTAATTTACTTCAGTCCACGATTTAATGTTGTTTTTAAGGTTTTTCGAATATTTAGAGACCTAGCTCTGTTATCTTTACTCACTGCACTATAAATATGTATAAAAACTGGTTTACACATAATAAACTAAAACTAAACGAGGATAAAAATCAAAATATAGTTTTCAGTTCAGATCGAAGACACATTTTTGGATATAGCATCAAATTGTTAGGGATTTTTATGGATGACAACTTAGATTGGGGCATCCATATAGACAACTTAAGTTCTAAACTCGCCAGTACAATATTTGTAATGCGTAAACCTGGTTTATTTGGTACCTAAAAGTACCCTTAAAATGTGTTACTTTTCATTGTTTCATAGTCATATTCAATATGGAATAGCTGTTTGGGGCAACTCTGGTCAGGCCGACAGAATATTTAAATTACAAAAGAAGGTGGTGAGGATACTTGCTGGAGCGGATTTAAGGGATCATTGTAAACCATTATTTTTGAACATGGGTATTATGCCTCTACCTTCGCTTTATATGTATGCAACACTGTTGGCAATTCACGATAATAAAAATAAGTTTACTATAAACTCCCAATTACATGATCATCTAACAAGATCGAGGGATTTAATTAGGTCACAACGATTCAGACTATCAAAGAGCACAAAGAATTCAATTGATATTCACTTGATATAATTAAAAAAGATGATTATAAAAATACATTAAAAAAAGAACAAAATAAGAAAAAAAAATAAATAAAAATATACTAAAACAATCACTAAGAGGATCTAAACCTCCGAGATGTTGAATCGGGTTTATGTCCTAACGTAGTGAAAAGAAAATATATGTATTACCATAGTTGTAGTTATTAACATAGTAGGTAGATATCTTTATTTTTATTTTTTTTTTATTTGTAAGATGTATACACTATGAATTTCTGATGGCGTCTCTCAATAACTAAATTATAATAAAGGTATGATATAGTATTTATTAACATAGTATGTACATTAGCTTAGCTGTTATTATTATTATATTAATCATGTTTCACTAATTGACATATTTAAATTCTTTAACAAAACTTATGTTGATGGAGACTGGCTAAATGACAATTGTCCAAGCCAAGGAAAAAAAAAAGATATTCACTTGTATAACTATCTGCCTAACGAAATAAAAATTCTGTCTCCACCACTGTTTAAAAATAGGATCAGAAAGCATTTTTTAACATATTTTTTTTTTACTCAAAGACAGAATACCTCAATGCACCTTTGTAACGTGTACCCAGTTTGGTCAGAATACTGTCTAATTACTATCTACATATCACATTGTATTATTGCTATTAAAATGTACTAAGTTTTATGTATTAGTTTATTAAGTGATCGATTCGGGAATATTCTTAATTATTTGTACATTTTTGTTACTTCCATATTTCAAAGATTTTTTATGTGACAGTTTAGGTTTGTTTTTTTTTGGTTAGAGATCTTTTTTATCTTAAATTTTTAATTTTAATTCTTCTGCTAATACTTACATATGTATATTACTTTAGCCAATATGGTCAAGTTAATTTTAAGTTTACATTATTATATCTTTTATTGTATTTTTTATACGGACTGTAAAGTGGCAATAAACGTTCTATCTATCTATCTATCTATCTATCTATCTATCTATCTATCTATCTATATTCTCCTATCCCTTCATTTTCTTTTCCCTTTTTCTTGGTCTCGGTGAGAATAAATATATCTATTTTTCTTTTCGCTAATTCTTTGAATACTTCTGCTTGTTTGGTTCTACGTCCTTGTACATTCCATGTAGCCAATATTATTTTCCTTTTCCGTTGCTTTAGTCGTCTTTGTTTTAGTCGTTTTGATATATCCTTTGTATTCCGAGGCTTTTGACCGAAATTTTTAGCATTTATTTCTTTTGACAAGGAATGAGTTGCTAGCCCATCGCTTCAACGCTCCTCCTTTATCCGGGCTTGGGACCGGCACCGGCATTTACTGAGCTACTCAATCCACCCAGCACTTACCTTGATATTATTACTGCGCCATCTGCGTAGCATAGAATCTTTATTGCTCTGTTGCCCATTCTGTACCCTGTTTCTGACTTTTTTACTTCTTCTATTAATTTGTCCATTTTCAAGTTAAACAATAACGGGCTCAAGCTATCACCCTGTCGTATACCTGATTGAATGTTGACTTTCTCCGTTTTTTAATTTTTTTATATTCTTTATCACCTCATCTAGCGTTATTGTTACCAGTTCGTCTTCTGCCTCTCCATCTTCTTCATCGATCTCTCTATATTCGTCGTTGTAAAGCTGTTCTATATACTTTTTCCATCGTTCTCCTTTTATTTTGATTTTACAAAAGAACTAACAACCAGAATTGAAATTGCACGTAGGTAAAAATAAACATGCTTAGACGTTATATATCGCACACTTCTTGTACAAGTGACACAATTGGAAAACATAGTTTTTTTATAAATTGCGAAAAACTAAGTAGTTCTAACATAACAGAATATTTTAGAAGATTCAAAAACAGCTGATTTAATGATGTCTCAAAGTAATTACATTATTTAGATTTATCTAGCTTTTAAACCATTAAAAACCATTGTTTTGACTTGTAACGTTTTTGATCTTTCAGCTCAAACGGAACTGAATTATTTTGAGTTGTAACAGTTTTGATGATTTTTTTAAGAAAAAATATGACATTGTTGATGATATAATAATCAACAGGTATACCTATTTACCGTAATCCGCTAAAACGAGACAAGTCAAATTAAAAAAAATGTATGATATTTAACCTACCTAGTACAAAACTGTCAAGACACAAAATGAATAACCCAGACAGGTGTATTTCTCTTTATAAACGACACAACTCGAAATACTAATTTCGTATAATTGTACTCAAACAACTCTCAAGGCACAACTATCATTATAACCCTTTAGTAGAATAATATTATACCTATTTTTAACATAAAAAATGACACTATTGTCACCTCGCGGCCAATAGATGAATTTAAAACAATTTCCGTGATTGATGCGTGGAGTCCGTTAACATCACTAACTCAAATACATATAACCAGTTTTGGGTTGTGTCACTTTTACAACTAGTGTGCAATATGTAGTATCCTCCTATGCGGTATAGAGGTAGACACACTGACTAAAGCGCTGATGAGAAAAGATGAAAAAAAAATCACTTACCAATGCATTTATTTTTGACTCTTTCGAGCTCGTAGGGTCTTCGTGCTGTCAGCACCAACTTAACTCCATATTTCGCCAAAGCATAAGCTGTGAATTCGCCGATTCCACTTGATGCTCCTGTTATAAACACAACTTGGCCCTTAAGGCGCCCTGAAACGGAAATATACGGAATGAAATAAATTTACAAGTAATAATAAATTCATATTTAAGTTGATATAGAACAATCAAAGGCCCTATTTGTCCAAGCCCTATCTTGTATTAAATTAAACTAGATTGAAAATCAGTGAAATATTTGACATAATAATTTTGAACAAAAATTGATCAAAACAATAATGAAACTATATTAAATAAAACAAAGAGTTCAGAGAAATTCTATGAAACAGAAAATACAGAAAAATAATCACGCGGACAATTTCTTAGGTTTTTTTGCTGAATACACTCCTCACAGGTTGTAAGACTGAAGGTTGCAAGTAACAAACCAGCGATCCATACTAATATTTCTTCCTGTTCCAGAGAGAGGTTCACACATCCTTGTAGTAACTGCTGTACATTAATTATTTACTTTATATGGTCCAGCAGGTTGTTGACCAGCATATCTCATATTATTAGTGTAAAATGTTTTTGCGTCGACAGTGGCAAATACTTGTACTTTGATACCATATACTAAAAACCATATACTAAATACTTTGATACTATATTTTTTAGGTTTGTTTGGAATGTACATGCGGAAGCAAAAAGCCTTTGTACACCTTCCACGAAAAGCAAAAAGCATCTCATCGAGAGTTACATAGTCAGCAACGGTATAACAAGATTGACTGTTTTTTACAGATGTTTCTAAAATCTCTCTTATCGGAGCTAGTTTATCGATTTTGAATCTTTCGTCTCTGGTTTGTTTATTATCAAAACGTATTACAGTATGGTGCGAATTAATGTGAACAGAGAAAAAAATTCAGTTTTCATAAGTTGGCACACCTGCAATGCCTATTCTGTCAACTGTTTTGTCAAAAAAACAACATAACCTCAAAACCTTATTAGTATATTCATATTCTTCAAAACACGTGCTTTGTGTTGTATCTTAGGTTATGTGCAAGTTGGTGTTATTTTCATTGATTTAACTGTGCAATCAGGTTTAACTTTTTAATATGGATATCACTCCTAGGAAAAGAGAAAGGATCATAACACTTGGTGAGCTGAGTGACTCAGAGAGGGACATTGCAAAGGAGCGTTGTGTAAGTTTAGGTGTAGGAAACAAACAAATTAAACAAATAAAGGAAACAGGGTCAGTTGAAGTGCAGCGGAAAGGAAAATGTGGAAGAAAACGGAAGACTACTCCTCGAAATTAAGCCCTTCTTTTGTGCCATAGCAAACTTCATCCCAGAAAAACAAGTTATGACCTTCAGCAAGATTTAGCAGAATTCACGACGGTACGCAGACGTCTCTTAGAAGGAGGGAGAAGAGCCGTGAGACCGCAGAAGAAACAACTTCTGACAGCGCCTATGATGAAAAAAAGACTAAATTGGGCAAAAAATACGCTCATTGGAGTGAAGAACATTGGAAAAAAAGTGTTATTTTCTGATGAGACCCACTTCCAAGTGCAGGGCCAGCGATCAAAATTCGTACGAAAGGCAGCCAATGAGTCACTTTCAGCTAGCCATATTAACCAAACAGTTAAACATCCCACCAAAAAAATGTTCTGGGGCTGTTTTTCATACTCAGGAACTGACACTGTTATTCCTATTGAAGGTATGATGAACAGTGAAAAGTACAAAGCGATGCTAGGGCAACGCTTAGCTATAGAGCTTGACAAAGTACAGGCCGAAGGGACTGCAATTTTTCAATAATATTCAGCTCCGTGTCATGTATCGAAGGTTATGATGAAATACTTAAAGGATAATAATATTACCCTTTTTGATTGGCCTGAAAATTTACCTGACCTTAATCCTATTGACACATTAAATACTAATTAATGAAAAAATCTCATGTAAGTGTACCTAAATTTACCTTTGGTCTAAATAAATCATATTTCATATTTACAAATTAATTCTGTTTGTTCACATTAAATCGCACAATACTGTACTTTAACGAAAATCTAAATCGTCGTTGTGCCATGGTCGCTACCAATATTTCTGATCTCATGCCATCGTCTACTCAAAATGATCCAATTTTTTTTTGAGAGCCGTGATCCAAACCTGTTAAATATAAGAAATCAATAAAATCTCGCATTTCCGGAACAGATGTAAGTTTGACGAAAATAGATTATTAAGTATTTAGATGTAAATATTATTGTATTCTACTACAAGTTCAATAATACTTTGCATTAGAAGATCCCACGATTCAATGGGACTTACTGTATTTTTTACTTTTCGAATAGTTCCTGATAGGTGAGAAACTATATTCTCTAGTCGTGTGAGAATATTTTTTGTAGGTGGTGCAAATTTCTTCCATTTAGTTCCATCCTTCGCATAATAATATTATCTCCTGTCAGATGCTCCCCATGTTGTGCCGCACAGTTTCTGGATGATGTTGTTTCTGGATTTAAGTTCTTCCGTTGTTTTTGACAGATGTTCCTTGAAAGATAAGAGTTCTGTGAAGAGTCACCCCAAGGTACTTTCGTGTTTTATTGTAGGCGGTGTGGTATCGAATTGTAACATTTATCTCAAAAATGTTGGTCTTGATTTAGTTAAAGAAATCATTAATTCTCAAACGAAAAACATGCACTTAAAACGAGAAACGCGTGGTATGGCACAGCGTTTAACGAGTTCAGAAGTGGTGGTCATACGAAAATCAACTAACGGTGTACAACATGGAAGATGCTACTACTGCCGAAATCGGAAATCAAGATATTGTTGCAAAAAATGTAGAAAATGGCTTTGTCTGGAACATGTCAAGATTTTGTTATACAAAATTTTGAAGTTTGGAGAAATATTTGCAAAAATTGTTGTTGTCCATTGTTGTCTTTTTTTGAGGTTTGCTTGTATCAGTTCCAAGTAAAGAATTGTTGTTTATTTAAATTGATAAAATATGAAAAAGACAGCAAATATTTGATTTCACGTTTCACGCAACAACGTCTATGTATCTGTTGACACGTATTTCGACCTCATAGGTCTCATCAGAACAGTTATTCATAGGCGGTCTCAACGTGAAAAATCAATATTTTTTGTCTTTTAAGAAGCAACACTAAAATGGCTTCGATATGGACGCAATAGCGACATCTGATAATAAATCCGTAAAATAGTTTCGAAACACATTCAGATTTCGCTTTATCTGAACCTTCTAAAAATTGCAAGGTATTACAGACGTTGATAAAGAAGTTAAAATATGTTGAGATAAAATATGTTTTATGTTATAAAAGAAGGTAGACAATAAAAATTGTATCATAAAAAATTGTTTTTTTTTTCATTTTTTGTAAAATATTTAAATACATAATGTGTGGCTCTTAAACACCACCCGACCTTTGGTGTAAAACAAATTCACCCGTGCCGCGAAGATGCCACTGGTGGTAAATCTTAGCAAACTTTTTGATTTCTAGTCATTACAGACTGAGGTGTTTTTGATAAGAAATCTTTGATATTTTTAATGGGTTTCCCAGAAAGGTTAAATGTGTCGACCGTTATATCATTAACAATTAATCCGTGATAATAAAATTAAAAACATTGTAGTAGAATGTATCCATTAAAAATTGTATTGATAAGAAAGAATTCAATTCGAAAGCACTTATATTATCTAAAAGCCAATCAACTGATAAAACTAAAACTGGTAAACAAATTTTGATAAACACGATTCGAGTTTTATTAATCATCACTGATAACACAGCTATGCTGAAAAAAATTATCTTTGGACTAAATTAATAACATTTATCTGCTGCAAAAAAATTTCTTAAGTACTTTTACCACGTTTATCTAAACCAATAATATTTATATTATTGGTTTTATCGTCGTCAAAAAATTGAAGTGCTGTGGGCGTCATTTTTTAGTCAAATAATATAAAGAAGACAGTTTGGCATAAAACGACGTGTGCCTGATTTCAAAACTTCTTCATTCTGAGTACTTACCATAATATAAATTATCGGAAAATATGCACAATGTAGTGACTTTAATATCCGCGACATCTAACAAACATTTCAGAATAATAATAAACAAAAATAAAAGAGTTCCAATCAATATAAAAATAGGTAATTTAGATATGAATGCGTGTTACAAATGTACCTATATGGTACAAATAATATACACTAAAATTAGAAATCAGCCACTCATTAAAAAGGCTTAAAAGATTCGTCGACACAGTTACCTACTTTTAGGAATCGTTCCCATTAAAAACGCCACTGGAATAAATGCAACAGTATCCTGATAGCACCAATATTTTTGAAACATCATTTTTATTATTATTTGCACAAATTAGTTACAGTTGAGTGAATTTGTAAGTACGTAGGTACCTATCTAGTTTTTTAATGAATTACGTTACTATTTTTAGACGTCTTTGATTTTTTACATAAATTTACTTACTTGGTGATTTTCCAAACTTATCCAAGAAGAATAATTGCACATCACAATCACTAACGCACAATAAAATTATATAAAGTCCTAGATATATTAAATATCCGGCTCCCAATAGAGTAAAAAACATATTTTATTATGAGAACATTCACGTAACTGTCTTGATAAAAGTGTAAATACTGTTTACTACAACAGATGACCGAAAAAATAAACAGAAAAGTTAGGTTAGCATAGCGGTTCATATACCATATACGGATCAATTAGAGGGGCAACAGGTTATATAAGAAACGTCGAAATATATAGTATATATTATATATATATATATATATATATATATATATATATATATATATATATATATATATAATATATATATATATATATATATATATATTATATATATATAATTGTTTCACTATTAGATTTCAGTATTTTTTAGCAATTTTCTTCAAAGTTTGAATACGCTTTTCTCGATTATTACTGGACACAGAAAGATGAAAAAAGAATCAACGGTTACAGAAAAAAAACTCTTTCAACTGATGGGTGTGAAAAATTTGGTTATAATAGAACATTAAACAGTATAATCCAATTTTTCAACAGAAAATTCAAAAAAATAAAAAAAGTAAAACCATCATTTTAAAGGCAACATAGTTTTGAATAAGACCCGTTTGGGCCTTAAATATACAAAGGATAAATTTACAAAGGATTTTTAATTAAATTTTTTAATATATGGTATACAGCCAACTACAGGAACGTAGATTCCTTGTGAACTTTGTGATTCCATACAAGAGGCTGGACGGGAGGAATTAGCTTTATCCAAAGAAATTAGTGAAGTAGATTCCGACGGAAATGGGTAAGTAAACTACGATGCTTCTTCAGGTGTAGTACCTGACGTTGTAAAATTTATTAAATTAGTACGCCTTTGATTGATAGGACATATAATTAGGCGAGATGAAGATGAAACAATCAGAAACATTTTCGACCGAAGAGGACCAGTGGGAAGACGATCCAGAGGAAGACCAAAACTTAGGTATCAAGATAACATAGAGAATGATCTAAAATCCATCGGAGTTAAAGCATGGAGAAAGTTGCCAGAGACAGGGGCGAATGGAAGATTGTTCTGAAGAAGGCTTTGGCTCATGACGAGCTGTAATGCCACTGATGATGATGAAATAAGTATCCACGATTTGTGTTTTATTCATAAATTGGATACTTTTCTTATGTAACTGCAATCTATAACTATATTAAAATAATGTATATTCCAGTCATAGAACTTTTTCCTCACAGTGCGTCGCCTCGAAATACTTGCCAGATAAATACATTTACTATTATGATGATTTCGCAGGTACCAATTTTTTATAGATTAATAAAAATATTTTTTGTTTAATTTTTACTACGCTAATATCAGTTTTCTCTAACAAATAAATAACTTCTTGAAATCATTTTCAAGCTATAACTGCGAAATTGTTTATTTGTTTGTGACATTAAATTGTAATTTTTTTGATAATAATATTCTTATGTTATTTTAAATTTATTATAAATAAATACCATGGTGTTTTTTGCAGTCACGTTTCACAAATTTTTATTCAAATACTATATTTAGCTAAGACATATAAATTAAAAATGTGATTAATTATTTTTAAAACATCTACGATAATCAATTTAAAAAAAGTATTCTGACAAAACTAATTTGAATAGAGAATAATGCATTTATTGTCAATAAACAACCCGTGGGCCGGCGCCACTGCATCGAAACCGCAGATTTCAAATTATGAAGTCACGTAGGGTCTGACATAAGCAGTGTAGAAAAGTAAGTGATATGCCCACTTCAAATCGCAGTATGCTTTAACTGCGAAAACAGGATGCATACCAGAGACCACTGGAATACGGCAAACATAATTCTCATTCATAAGAAAGGTAGCAAAGAGGATATCAAAAACGACAGACCTATAAATCTACTACCAATCATATACAAGATATTCACAAAGATCATCAACAGGTTAACAAATGTATTAGATGCCGCGCAGTCAAGAGAGTAAGCTAGTTTTAGATAGGGATTGGATCATATCCATTCGCTTGTAGCTCTAATAAATAGAGCTAAAGAATATGAAATAACGTACTGACTGTCACTAAAGTTGGTAGAGAGTAGCTCACTCCAAACAAATCTTTTTCGCACATTCCAAGCAAATTGATTTTTCACAATGAAAGCATACATAAGCTGTTCTCCTTTTCTTTTTATAGTGACAGTAAGAACAGTCCTTTCTTTTTTCTAATTTTTCCACTCTTACTTCTGGACGCCGTTGAGGTTCATCTATACCCAGTGTCTCGCATATGCTCAACTTTAGTTTTCTAGGTAAAGAGGAACTTTCTAGTCTTCTGTTTAGCTGAAGTTGGATAAGTTAAAATGCCAGTTTTTCAAAATGCCAGTTTATCAATAAAATTGGGCCTTTCTAAATGATTATTATTTTTAAAAGACTCATAAAGAATAAAAGCATTTACTGTACTTATATTAAACATTCTGGAAAATATAGCCATAGGCCAACGGCGAGTTCGATGACTGCTTTTAAATTTGGCACATTTTTCGTCCATTGAATCGACACCATCCTTTGTTGAATTATAATCCACTATTATAGGTCGTTTTTTTAGTCTCTGTGTCCTCAGTGGCGTGGCTGCGTGATGAGATGATGATACCAAAATTACGGGTTTATTTTTAGGTGTTCTGTGTGAAAGTAAAGTAATGTGTTTTGTAAAACCGTAAATTGCCGTTCCCATTTCTCGTCGTCTGGTGAGTAAGAAGATAGGAGAAATTTCTTTACGATTCTTGCAGAGAGTTCCAATGCAAGTTAAACCTTTACTTCTCAATACCTCTACCAGCTCTATAGATGTAAACCAGCTGTCAAAAGCTATAGATCTGTTGGTTCCATAGAGAGGAGTAGTTAAGCGCATCATAGCCTGTGTCAGCTTACTGTATCTTTTCTGTTTCTCTGTAAGTCCAGTACGGTCAGAATTTTTTCCTGTATATATAAGCATTGAATAAGTATCTAGTTCGAGCATCAGTACAACACATAATTTCTATACCATACTTTACGGGCTTACTCGGTATGTACATTTTGAAGCGAGATCGACCTCTGAATCCCACTAGCATTTCATCAATACAGCCTGAAGTTCCTATAGTATAGCATGCCTGACAGTTGTTAATAAATTCACTAAAAATTTCTGAAATCGGTGCTGCTGAATTCAACACTGTTCTCTTATTTCTGTCTTCGGGAATGTCAAATCGCAAACATAACAAAAATTCCAAAAATTGGTGAAGTTCTATCATGTCAAGGTCTTTAAGAGAAGGAGAATTTTGATTTTGGTACTTGGCAAATACTTAGTACTTGGTTGTAAATATTATCGCTGAATAATACCTTCCAAACCTGTAAAGGGTCTGCACTATCTTCAATCTCAGCTCCAGGGCGTAATCTAGGTAACTGTATAACTATATTCTTCTGTGGTCGCCTGCCTCTATTTGAAGTACGAGGATTTTTTTACCATTTGTATCTATTTCTACCATAGAAATTTCCTTGTCTCCTCTGGATCGTCTTCTTCAGTTTTGGTCAACATTATATATCTTCTCTATAAGCATGTTCTAGCTCATTTTCATTTTCTGAAACTAAAAAGAGAACTTTAGGAAATGCTATACTATGCGGTCTACCGTCGCGTTTCTATGGTCTACCCAGGGATGCAGTGTATAGTATTCGACAAAAAAATCTTTACAAACTGAATAAAACGCATAAATCATAAGAATTTCCATTTTAATTTTATAAATCAATACTTTCAATAAATAATTGTTGTTGTTTGTTTGTGTTTAAATGACTGCGGACACTAAATCCATTCGCCAATCTTACAATTTGAGGTGTAGTGTGTGTGTGTGTGTGTAGAGTAATTGTCTTGATACTTAGCAAAGTCGACGTCATTGTCTTTGCTAAGAGACGCTAATTGTATCCGAACGTCTGCGGTCCCTCCGGTGTGTACCGATCACACAAGGATAGAAATTATTTTCATTTATTAATTTTTTTTAAGGCTGTTTTATCGGTGCACCAAAATTTTTTCTCTGTTATTTACCGACGAAATGTCTCGAAATTTGGACATGTTATACGAAATTATGTTGCCTTTAAACTGATGGTTTTACTTTTTTATTTTTTTGAATTTTCTGTTGAAAAATTGGATTATACTGTTTAACGTTCTATTATAACCAAACTTTTCACGCCCATCAGTTAAAAGAGTTTTTTTTTCTGTAATCGTTGATTCTTTTTTTACCTTTCTGTGTCCAGTAATAATCGAGAAAAGCGTATTCAAACTTTGAAGAAAATTGCTAAAAAATACTGAAATCTAATAGAGAAACGTGTTCCTCATCATTGTCGCTGAGCTTGATCGTTATCGCATTAGTGACGTCAAATCTCATGAGCGTACGGTACGGTCTTATTTTTATTTCTCTATGGGTACGGTCAGTTAGTTCGCTTGAATTAGAATCCATTTTAGTTTTTTCATTCTTGTATTTTCTTTATCAACTTGCTTAGTTTTTACAGTTTACAGTATTCTTATTTATTTTGAAAACATTGAAATTATTTAGTTTACGTGTATGTTAAGTAATATATTATTAGTTTAGTGGTATAAGTTAAAAGTTCTTTAGTTTACGCGTATTTTTAAGTATTACATTAGGTTAGTGATATAAGTTATAAGAGACAAGATAAAAAATGAGTCCCAGTAAACGTCCTATGTCAAGGAAAAGGAGAGCAATTGCACTGCTTTAGTATTTATTATTTATATTACAACCGTTTTTAAAAGCTTTTATTTAACTTATAATATATATATATATATATATATATATATATATATATATATATATATATATTCAAGGTTTGAATAATCATTCTCCATTTTCATGCAACTTTTCTAATATGGAGATTATCAAAGAAAAAATGGACGGATTGATAAGTACATATGTGGAATATTGAAAAGGAGATAGCAACATAGGATTCTGGTAACAATTCACTGAACTTGAATGGTTCTGGTTATTCAGACATACAGCAGCAGCACGCTGCATTAAATATACCTGTGATTTCCTACAGGCAGTATGCAAAACATACGGAAACAGTTGCAGATATCATCGGCCAAACACTTTGTGATTCCTTAGAAGAGACTGGACGGGAGGAATTAGCTTTAGCCAAAGAA